ATTAATTAAATCATTGTACGGATTGAAACAAGCCTCTAATGAACCGCGCATCAGAACTGCTCCAGTTCTGATGGCCTTCGGGCAGAGATGCTCCGGTTCTGATGACCGCGCATCAGAACTGCTCCGGTTCTGATGGCCTTCGGGCAGAACTACGTAGGGGTCTTCTGATGGCTTCTGAACCGTTACAGCAATAAATGCCCAACGTTTATACCTTTTAATGCAGCGTTAAATGGACAGTTCATGGACAATTCAATGCCCAACGGACTGGTCATTGATGTCCAACGTTCAGGTCCATTAATTCACTATTTTCATACAACAAATCCTCCTATATAATGGCTGGCAGGTGGTTTGCAACAACACACGAATTTAGACACTCCATTCACGTTTTGCACCTCAAAAACACACTGCTACCATTCCGAAAATTTCCTTCTGTGTTCATACTGTGTTCTCGTTCGCTGGAACTTTTGTTTGTGTGCTCAAACATTAGTTCGTAGTCATCGTATCCTGGGAAACAATTGTTGCAACGCTCCTAGCACCGTGGGAGGCAACAAATACGTTTTAAGGACATCGTGCGTAGCACGAGCTTTGACTAATTCTGCTTCATCTCCTTTCTTGTTTTTCTCTTGTCATTTTATTTAATTAATTTATTTTAATTAATTTTCTTTATTTTCCGAAACACACCCAACAGTTGAGGGGTTCTTCTAACTAAATCCCGATATGTTTTCCTATAGTTACTAGCTAAAGACCCTGATTCTCTAACTTCATCAAGCATGTGTTTCACTTGATTAGACAAGTTTCATAAACAAGAGAATCATTTATGTCTAAACCATAACAAGAATCACTGAAAGCAGATAGAGAAATTAACAGCCTTAGCAATAGTAAACTCCTCTTTTTCAACACCAACCCTTAGATTTTACTTGAAGCGTATCAATCAAAACTCTACTAGTTAAAAGAAAAGGTATATCCAATATAAGAGAATCAAGTATCAGAATCATTTCCTGTATCAAGCACTAGTAACTTTACAGGAAAATAAAATTTTACCCACTTCAACTAAGACATCTTCAACAACACCTAGTGGATACTTAATCACTCAATTGTAAGAAAATAATTGTGACCTTTATATCAACAATATCAAGTTTATTGCGAACATTTAAGAGCATCAAATTGATATTAGCACCTATTTCACATATTCACTTATCAATAACAAAGTTACCAATAATGCAAGGTATAGGAAAACTCCATGGATCTTTTAAGGGAGTTTTCCCAAAATAGGAGTAAATGGAGTTTAGAATTCCAAAATAGGACTACTATGTTTTTTCCTGGAATACGACTAAAATGGCAGTATTTACTGTCATCTTGTATGCATGACTGTCAAATAGTTGCAGTACAGTGCATTTAACATGACATTATTTATTATAATTAATGACATTATTTTTCAATCATGGCGGTATTTTTCATACATGACAGTAACAACTCCTATTTCGGGAAGAAAAACATAGTAGCCCTATTTTGGAATTCCAAACCTCATTTACTCATATTTGGGGCAATTTCCCATCTTTTAACTAGGGAGGCAATTTGCTTTAAAGTATGGCGCTGCAACCTTCACTTAATTCCACGGTAACAAATTTCGAGTTTCTTCTTGTTTGACACCAACTCATTTATATATATGGCGTAAGATCGGGGCATTCAGGAAAGTGTTTCAGCGAATGGAATATTGATTTGTAGCTTTTTAAACACTTCCAAAAACCATTGAAAATTAGTATCTTGGTTCCTCTTATGTAGTCTATGTAGATAAGGAACATGTTGTACATATGGCTCCTTACAAACATGTGATTTTTTTGCACCATATTCAAAAAGTTGAACCTCGTTATCCTGAGGGACTGGCTGGTCATCTCGATTTTCAGCCTCTTCTTGTGCCACATCAACTTAATTATTGTCAGCTTTTTCTTTTTCCGGAGTTTTTTCATCAATGATGGCAATCAATTTTTTCAGCTTCTTAATGTGACTGGCATTGCATCTCTTGATCATGAATTGAAACTTCGTTAAATTGTACCACCTCATCAATTTTAGCATCCATGTTCTTCATGGTTGCATCTTGATTAGCTATGTCTTTTTTACCCCGGGGGCGTCGAGGGGAGGGTGGTTTACAGGGCTTGGCGTAAACTGGGATCAATATCATTTCATCAAGAATTGACCCTGGGACCTCCCATAAGGGAGAGTGAGTCGGCGACCAGCTGAACTGGACCGATTCCTCTCTTGATTCACTATGTATTACATTAATACTTCTTCAAATTGTGGCATCTTTTCTGGCATTGGGACAATGGGACCTGGTATGGAGGTGTTATTTGTTGTGTGGGGGTGGGGGGGGGGGGGGGTACTTGTACTTGTTGTAATCTTGGAGGTCTCACACCTATGTATTCATACAAAAATTAACATTGTATTCAAGTAAACCACAATAAACACATACCTCGCTGCTTGGACTCTCCCATTAGTCATTAGCAATTCCATTTTCTAATTAAACTCAGCCAAATGTATTGTCTGGTTGGGCGTTTATGTCTTGCACAACAACCCAACATATGACCTCTCACAGGAAATAATAGCCAAAAAATCTTAAAAATAGCCCATAAGTCATCCACATTTTATCGTCTGTATAATCACTAGAGGCAATATCTACAAGAGTGTGACAATTCGGAGTAAGACAATCACAGAAAAACTGAGCTAACAATACTACAATAGCAAATTAAAAAGATTGATGGTGGGTACATTGTTTCAAAAACACATTAAACCTTCCTCATGCTCCATGAAGTAACTCCCTTTCTCTTTGATCGAAATTGCAAATTCTACTCCTATAATCCATTGTTTTCTGATTAGAGTAAAACTTAAACATAAATACATCATAAATTTGCTCCTGGTTGGTTAAGGAACCCTGGGCAAATTAAACAACCTCTGTCTAGCTAGGTTGACTTTTCATGCAATAAGGAAAACATGTCATACGAAGCTCATTTTCAGATAACTTGTTTAAGAGAAAAGTTTGTAGTGTACTATAAAGCTCACACATGAATCTCAATGCATTGTGAGTTCCTAATCCATTAAAGGAGGGTAGTATATTAAAATGAATGTTCTTAAACTCATAGTTCTCTCAAGCGAGTAGGTGACGGGACAACAATTTCTATATTATTGCTCCTAGTGGAGTGTTATCATATACTCCATGGGTGCAGACAAGACGGTCCAATATGGCATCCCGAGTCATCTACCTGGTGGGCCGAAGCACTGCGTCAAGGCTGAGATCTCATCATAAGCCCAACTCTACGCTGGTAGGGTCATTATGCTTTGGACCGAGCTACTTCAGTGAGGTCGAGTCTAATGATTATAACTACGGATCATTCACTAAAGCTACCGGACGAGATGGAAACCCAATTTAATGTGTTTGTTCAATTGATCAATTCATATCTTTATTTTTTGGGAAAGTATAGCGATCCAAAGTTTTTTCCCATATTTTGTAAAGTACGCTATGCGAAGCAGAAATTTTTGCTATTTTAAACTGGCCAACCTTATTTTTTCACTATTTAAAAAAATTAGTACATGTTTAAAACATGTATAAGCAAACTAAGTTTAAATGGTATGTTTGGCACAACTAACTGAAAAGACACTTTTATAAGCTCCAAAAGATAAACGAATTATCAATCCGGGACCTGAAAAATGAAATGCATTGATATAAGACTCGAATGATGAAAAACTATCAATTTAGGACCTGAATGATTGAAAACTGTTAATCTAGGACCTAAGTTGTGATAAATTTTGTAATTTTTTTTATTTTGAAATTTTTAAATATTATTTAGTTTTATTAAACTAATAAACTTTTGTGAAGAAAAGTTTTTAAAAAATTAGTAATGGAATTAATAAAAAATTAAATAAATCAAAACCTATGAAATGTTAGGTCCTAAAATGATAGTTTTTAATCATTCGGGTCCTATATCGATACGTTTCATCTTTCGGGTCCTGAATTGATAGTTAATCTATCTTTCGGGTCCTGAATTGATAAAATTCCTTTAATAGTCGTTAACTTATAGTGAGTGAAAAAATTCGTAAAGGAAAATTGTTGTAGCTGTTTCATATAAAATTGATTGTTTGATTTAATCTCGTTTAGTATAACAAACTGTAGTGACTAATTAATGCTAGAAACTACTGACTTTCTCCCGGATGCTACTCATTGTAGCATCTTAAAAATATCTTTTATTTTGTAAAAAAAACTCTTATAAATTGTCCTGCCAAACATACAACAGGAAGTTTTTATAAAAATTCTAAATAGTACAAAAGTTAGAAGACATGTGCTTGTGCCTACCAAACATGTACTTAATACAACCATTTTGTTTTTTTTTATTTATGTCAGCTTTCCACACCATTTATCTTGTTTTTTTTTCAAAACTATTCTTAATTTGGCTCACAATTCACAACTTGCTTTAGTAATAGTGACAACAATTAGAGGTTCGTTAATATGTTTTACTGGTTTAGTCCCATATCATATCAGAATAAACTATATTTTAAACAGATCAAACTTAAACAAATCAAATCAAACTTGAACAGTTATAAAATGCACACAAATCAGATATCTATCAGACTAGTTGAAACTAAAATATGATCATACCAAATCAGGTTTTTTGTAGATCAAACAAGAAAATTTGAGTCCGATTAAATTGTTTATTCTGATCATACTCCGTATTAGGTAGGAATATTATCAATCCGGAACCTGAATGATGAAAAACTATCAATCTAGGATCCGAATGATAGAAAATCATTAATATGAGACCTAACTTTTCATAAATTTTATTATTATTTTTTAAAAAAATAATTATTATTTAGTTTTATTAAACTAATAAATTTTTTTTTTATCATCCTAAACTAAAAAACTTTTGTGAAGAAAAATTCATCAAATATTAAAAATGGATTAATAAAATTTAAATTCATCAATCAAATATTGAGGTTTATATTCCTTTATTGCTCGTCACTTGATTATCAGTTTCATCAAAGTCGCAGGAGTTTGGATCGTCACCTTCCTGGGAGAAGTCTGAACCGCTGAAGCAGGTAGGTCATTTGGGCAAGATAAGCCACCGCTGGAGCAAGACCTCCCAACTGGAGTGCCTAATGGCTACTGAACCATCACATTCGTAAATATACAAGTCAAATATATATAGGATGTCTTCGAATCGTTACAGCAGCCAGAACAGGAACCAAGGGAGCAGTAGCAGCAGCAGCAGCAACAACTTCGCCAGGCCCAAACAGAAGTTCATGCCGAAGAAAGATATCCAATCCGATCAAACTCCATTTACTTCTAATAGCCAACAATCTAAGAAGTCAGACGTAGCTGCCGCTGCCGCTTCCGGTGGTAGCGGCAGTGGTGAATCTGCGAGCAGGCTTAAGATGTCGGAGATGGGAGAATGGGTTTCTAGTGTCGGCCAAGGTGGCAATTTTGTCGATTACTTGCCTCAAGATGAGGCGGTTGCTACTGGACTAGGAGCTGACAAGGGCGGATTGGATCCAGTGGAATCCCAGCGAGTGGTGGATCTTTTGAACAGAGAATTATCTCGGTTGCTTAAATTGAGCCCTAAAGATTTCTGGCGAGAAGGTAAAAGCTTGTACGTTTTTCTTAGTTTTGTTAAATTTATACTTGGTATATGTTGGGCATTCACAGCATGTGCAAACATATTTTTCCCTGTGCTTCCTGTGTTGCTAGTTCATTGGCATATTCGAAGTAACGACTGAGTAGTTAAGAGTATAAAGGATCCTATGACCTTAATCTGTTTTTTCTAAGAATGGAATGGGTATGTATGCGGAAATCTGATAGAGAATGTGATAATTGTTAGATGATATATTCTTAAAGGTGTGTCATTCAAATATTTTGTGGGAATGTAATGTGAACAAACCTATGAAGCTTGTAAACCAACAAATGCTTATGTTTTCAGCATTTAGGAATCTCTGAAACGTTTTCCTGTCCTGAAATATGTAAAAACCTGTTTCCCGGGCTGTTTTGTAATATTAAAAACACGTGAAACATGTCTCCCTTTAGAAACGTTGGGCCTAATTATGGCTCTAATTATAGTATAAGCTTTTCAAAGTGATCAATGCAACAGTAAGTTAAGTTAGTACTGGTTTCTAGAGTGGTAAAGAGATAACATGAATTCCTTATGTGTTTAATTTGCTATCTACATAGTAAATTATTGGCCAAGTTTAGTTGGTGGAAAAACAGACTGTAGTAAGAATTTTCATAACTCTCTAAACACTTGTTTTTCAATTGAAAGATGATGTTTCACTTTTCACAATTACCAATTTTTGCTGCACCTCCGTGCAACATAATAGGGGACTTATTGAGTTCTACACTTCTATATATCACTTCTATATATCACTTCTATAATACAGTGTAAACTAATTGTTAGCATTTGAACCACTCCAAACTTTAAAGTTCAAATGTTTAAATGTATGTGCTTGCACTCATATCATTTAAGATGTTTTTTGTTCTAATGCTTAACTTTCACAGTTTCTCAAGGAACTGGTTTTAATTTTTTTTTGTGGTGGCATGGTTCTACTCATTTTTAGGTATATTCATCTCTTTTATATTATCTTTTTATAATAGCTTATTTTATATATCTTTATTTTCCTTTTGGTGGTGATATCATGTACCGATTCATGTTAGCTGACCCCAATATCTTTTGGGACTAAGGCTTGGATGTTGTTGTTGTTGTTGTAGCATGGTTCTACTTGCTAAATAAATTTTAACCTGCTTGACTGCTTGTAATTCTTCTCAGTTTCTAGCGACACTTCCCTTCATTCTTTCCTTGAAAGCTTTCTAAAGTTTAGGAGTAGATGGTATGATTTCCCATATCATGGACCCAAGGGCATTGTTGCTGGAGTCATTGTCGGTGAATTCGAGCTATCTCGGCGTGTCTTCATGACCTTATATCGCATGTAAGTTACTATCTCATTTTTGTCCTCTCTTTTAGGTGCATGGCGCGCATAAGTGGTTTGTATTCTCCATTCACAATGTTAGCTTTGTTTGAATTCTCTTTGCATTGTAGATCTTCTAGTCGGGATCCTGGTGCCAAGGCTGCTGACACTGTCTGTCAGAAAGATTATTCAGGTTTTTTTTTGCCCTATATGTATCATTGTTGTTTCTCTGTTGTAATTTTTAAAGGTCCAATGATATCTGTTTTCAACTAAGCTTGCACCATAATGTGATCATACAGATTGACCTGAAGATCTGACATTCATTTCTGGGTGTTGCCCCTGACCAAATTCTTTTGTTTAGAGATTCTGAATTTGACAAATCAACACTACAAATAAAAAAATCTCCACAATGATAAGTTTGCACTCTATACTCATGAGTTCATTGGACAATTTAAATTCTTCTATGGATGTTGCTACCAACCACACCCATCTATTCTCACTAGGATTCTGGATTTGTCATTCCAATTAAATAGCAATTAGAAATTGTAAGTGGAGAGGCAGAGAGTATCTATTTTTATCATTACTATATGGTTATTAGGATTTAGGGGTGCCATTGGAGCTGTTATCTTCATGGTAGAATGCTCATCTTATTAAGATTCTAATTTTCAATAATAGTTTCACTGCCATTCTTAGTGACATTTCTTATAATCATGAACTTCAGTTAGGTTCTTAGGGAAACCACTGAACAACTTTTGGGGGATTAATGTACTTAACTTGAGGTGAAACTTTCTATTGTAAGATCAGAAAGTTGTGAACATGTGCTGCACTGTAATAACAATTTCCACTTATAGCTCTTTTGCAGGAGAAGAAGTTACTTAGTTTGCCAAAGTTGTTAGAAATTTCTGCTATATATGGTCATGAAAATGAAGATTTGACAAGAATATTGGTAAACTTAAAATCTGTTTTTTTTTGTTTGATTGTTTTGCCAGTCTTTTAGTCTCTAAACAGCTCCCCCTCCTTCCCCTTCAACACCTACTTTCATTGCTTTTCTCTGCCTTTGAGCTTGAAATAAAATTTCCAATTGTTCGAGCATATGGAGATGCCTTTGATCGGAAATTTTGTCGTGATGAAAAATTTAGTTGCGCTCTACTATGGATTTAATTACTGTGTAATTCCAGTTCACAGTGCACCGGGAAGCATAGTAGAGTGACTCAACTCTAGTTTACTACATATACTGCTGCATGGCTATATTGAGTAACTCTACTTCACTGGGAAGCATAGTAGTGTTGTGATATTGGAAATTTCAAGCGAACACTAGGAAGCATTCTATGAGTGTGTGGTTGTGGAAGGGAGGGATGATCTTCATTACTATTCATCCTTTTAAGTTTTAAAGAATTAAAAAATCTTATTGTATTCTTGCATGTGTAGTTTGAGTTGTGTTGTAAGGCAAAAAGCTACCTTCTCTATCTTTACTAAAGTTGTTAGTGAAGTTCCTTCCGTGATACTAGATGTTTAGAGTTTGTAGTGGATATATTTTCATTGGTTATAATTCAATTGGTCCTTGAAAATGTCCTTTGCTTCACCACTGACCTGTTCACTTAATATTTTGCAGATTGTGAATGCAATAAATGCACAACCATGGATCCATGACGATCTTACCGAAGTCATTTCTCATTTCTTGAGCATTGTTCACACTATGTATGAACGTTGTAGCTCATCTATAGAGGTATGATTAACTTCCAGACGCCATTTGTCCTATTTGCACAGGGGAGGTTAGGATTAGTTGGGGCACTTGGGGGTTTATGCTGGCACTTCGCATTTTCTGCTCACATGTTGCTTTGATGCATGCTATCTCTGTGTGTGTGCGCGCGCGCGTGAGTGCATTTCAGTACATGTAAGACTATAACTTCTATATCCTTGAGTTTACCTACAAAATTTTTATTGACTGTACGGAGCATGAATTTAAGTTTTATATAAAACCTTTCTAGAAACCAGAAATATAGTCAGAAGCTCTCCATTATTGTGGGTCTGAGTAAGGGAATAAACAAGCAGGCTCCTCCACTATTTGTTTTCCTTCTTAAGGTGGCTTTTTTTCTGGTTCTAATCTGAGACTTCCAAGACACAATAGGGAGACTGCACGTCTGCACCATTGGGTTGCACCATTCCTTTTACTTGCTCCGTTCAAAAGTCCTCCATTAATGTGACTGATTTTTTTAAAAGGGAATTCTTGTCTTATGTTTATTGTGTTATGAATTGGGCAGCACAAGGTGTTGCACCAGAGATGCAAGGACCTGGGCAGTTAGCGCCCTTCATATTAAGTAAGGTAAAGTAGTTCTGGAAACTAGAATAGAGCACGGTCATGGGAGGATGTGTCTTAAACTGAAAACATGGCATATGGAGGATGTGTCTTCCATTCCTACTCGAAGCAAAGGCAGAAAAGTGTGGCAGGAGAGAAAGTAGGCTTTAAGCTTGTCAGTAAAGTCTCTGTGACACTTGCAATCATTGCTTAGAAAAGAGTTGCTTGTTGTTGCAATTTGAAACTTATCAGAATCAATGAATAGTTTTTATCATTTGACCATGCCCAAAATTTTATTACTCTTTAGTTGGTTACCCCATTTTCCTTAGATACATGGTGCAACATTGCAACCTACAAAGTGAATATTTTACTGCACAATAGATAAAACAGAAGTAAAGGCTATGTGCATCTTCCTCCATTATATGGTACTATGGGAGCATGCATTGCATTTATGGTCAGTCTCTGAGAAGTGTTATTTATAAATTCTCCAATGATTACCATATTACAGAGGAATGGACATGAAGCTTGGTGTACTCTTTAGGGTAAAATGGGAGTTCAGTGGTGTTATAATTGCACATTGTTCTTAAAGTATTCTGTGTGTCCAAACTTAGGTCAAATTTTCATTTTTTATTGCCAGCTCAACTGCCTGTATTACATTATCTACCTTAGCATTTACTAATATGTTAACTATACTCTATAAACTTATGCTGGAACTTCTTGCCAAATTGTTTTTATCTCTCCTAAATCGTTATCTGATCTTAGCTGCAGGTTGGTAGATTTGCATTGACCTCTCTGTTATGGGTAATTTGCAGGTTTTATTTTCATCTGTTGGCTGTCAAGAACATGGGCATACTCGGCTTCTTAAAGACTATTTAGAGGTGACTTGAACTTTTTTCATGCTAGGTAGAAGCAGAAGTAGTACCTCACCTTTCTATTTTTATTTTTATGTTGTCACATGTAAAAATCACACAAATTTTGCACAGTTAGTCTCCTTTAATTGATAAGAAGGCTATTTCGTGATCGAAATAGAGAAGAATGAAAAGTAACACCATTTTCTGTGGGCACAGATTGTATGTGTTCCATATAAAGATAATTCCTAGGGTTCTGGGTTTGAATGTTCCCAGGGCTGTGTCAAGTTGATTATCAACCGCCATATCACAGTATTTCATTGGCCAAAAGTGGAATTTAGTATAAAAAACGTATGGTGCATGTTTCTATTTTTTATCCTTACTGCTGTTATATATTTCTTGCTTTCTTTAGCCCATGTATCCTAATGTGAGCATTGTATTTTACCTGCAGGTAATGGACTTCATAAATGATGGTGTTGTATCCATGGATGCATTTGTTAATGCCTACAATCAGTCTGCTGTTTACATCTCTATTCCTGTTGACATGAGGTACTTATTTCCCTGTAGATTATTGCCCTTGTAATCTATGTGCTTTTACCTTCTGATATTCATTTATATGCAGTCATGGGAATGAGGAAATGCTCACTACGCTTGCAAGGCTACATGATTCCTTGCTACCGTCCTTAGAGCGAGGTTTCCGCTTGCTGTTTGCATCTAAAGAAAACAATGGCTCCTCAGACATATCTAGTAGTAGTATGCATTCAGATGTTTATCTCAGTTTGAAAATGTTGTCAACAAGGATTGTAAATTTTGGCTGGAAGCTGCTATACTTGTGCTATCTACGTGACGAAGCTTTTGATGGAAGTTACCTTGTTCCAGTTGGAATGAAAATGTTTCCTGCAAGTGTTGAAGATCCCGTCATAAGGACAGACATTCTCATACAGATTGTCAGGGATATCAACGGAATATATTTGCAGTCCCTTGAGGCTCCTACTAAAGGAACATTTCTTCAAAGCATCGAGGAGAATCACAAAGTAATGTCTAAAATTGGGCTATTAAGAGATGCAGGTACAATATTATGTTATTGTGTTTAATAATTATTCAATTACCTATTATTCCTTACTGAACTCTAGTTTGTTAAATATACTGCTTCATGGCTCTGCATGTATACTTCGGTTCTAAGAATCCCCGCGTAGTTGAGAATCCCCCTAAGCGTCAAGGCTCACTCAATAATGGATGAGAATTGCAGTTTCCATTTTTTGGGTTGGGTTTGATTCAGTGTAGATCTATGTGGGGATATTTCCAAATTAAACAAACTTCATTTGGTTCAGCATGTTCCATTTTTTATTTGTGGTGAGTTTCAGTTTGTTAGATTTTTGTTTTGAGGTTAAATGCATTTTTTTGTTTGTTCTGGTTTTAATCAGTTGCAGTTCAGTTTGGTTTCGTTTAGTATGGTTTGGGAAAAACATTATCAAATAGGAACCGAGTTATATGCGGTTTGGTTTCAATTCATATTAATTCGGTTTTGTTTGGTGTGGTTTTGTCATCTCAAACCAAAATCACATATGTGGCTCTGTATAACAATAAACTCTACTACATGCAGGGTGGTTCACTGTGGATGATGATCAATTTCGATTTCTCTCTGGTATTTTTGTCAAGTCTGTGCAAAAGAATATTAGGACAACGCCTAGCATGCCATCCTCAGGGACGAATAGTACACCCCAGGTCGATGAAGACGCTGTAATTGTCGAATCAAAAATCAGTCAAATAAAAGATCTATTCCCTGAATATGGAAAAGGTTTCCTAGCTGCCTGTCTTGAAGTTTATAACCAGGACCCTGAAGAGGTCATTCAGAGGATTCTAGAGGGCACTCTTCACAAAGATTTGCAATCTTTAGACATTTCCTTGGAGGAAACTCCAAAGCCCAAATCCTCTCTTCCTTCCTCATTGGCACCTCCTAAAGACAAGGGTAAAGGGAAGCTGTTCGAATCATCTGAACCCGCCCCCCCTATAAAACACACTCAAATAGGCAGTTCTTCCAATTCTTCCTCCACATCATCTGTTGTGGTTGGAAGGTATGTGAGGAAGACCGGGAGCGATTTGCCCGACGCTACGGTCCTCAACTCTAGAAGTGAAGCTGACTTGGCAAGGACAGCTGCACTCGCGTCACAGTTTGAGGAGTATGAAGACGAGTATGATGACTCATTCGATGATTTGGGTGTGAGTGTCGCAGGGTCTGCTTTAGAGGAAACAGAAAATATTGATGATGACAAATTGAATTCAGGTAGGGGAGGGAAGTCTTCAGGATTTGATAATAATGCTTCTAATTCAAAATGGAATAAAAAGCCACAATTCTATGTTAAGGACGGGAAAAACTACAGTTACAAAGTGGAGGGCTCTATTGCTGTGAATAACTACGATGAAGCTTCATTGGTTAATCAAGCTCAGAAAGAACTTATACATGGACTTGGTCGAGGAGGCAATCTTCCAATGGGTGCTGTCAAAAGGATTGCAGATTCTATTCCAGGAGAGCAAGGCAAAGGAGGGGGTCGAGGGCAGCAGCAGGTGGGACGTGGGTTTGGACGGGGCCACATTTCTTCTTCTTCAAGTGGTCCTGTTCAAAAGCCCAATGATGATGATGAAGATGAGAGTGGAGTAAAAGAGTGGGGTCGAGGAGGAGGACGAGGAGGGAACTTTAGAGGTGGAGGAGGAGGGCAGAGGGGACGGGGAAGAAATCATTACAAAAAAGACAGAGCCATGAAAAAACACATGGCCGGAGTAACAGGCCATTGGTGAGGCAAATGTTTTCATCTCAAGGGGAGTGGGTAGTACTAGTAGTATATATGCAAAACTTGGTCCACGTATATGTCTATTTTTCATTTGACGTATGGTCTTACTAATTTTCTGATTCCATAGTCTTGAGGGAGAATTATATGCAAGTTTATCTAACTAAACATATGCACACAAAACCTTACTTTTGATATCTTTTATGAGCAATGACAACAGTAAAAATTTATTACGTCACTGCACACGCAATTACAGTAGCAAGTGTTACAGTCCGCTCTTGTGCAGCCGATTTTCGGAATGTATCCACTCTTAGAATACTATAAGACCTGCTATTGTAACTGTGTGTGCATTACACGCAATTACAATAGCAAGCGTTACAGTATATACTCTTGTGCAGCCTGTGTTCAAAATGTATCCACTCTTGGGCCTTTGAGTGCATTTTCCATTACCTAACCCCCTACAGTTAACTCCTTTTTCCTTACAGCAAGTGATTTTAAAGTCCGTACTTTATGCACGCGATTAAGTCTTACGATGATCAAATTATTCATTGGCACTCAAGAAGCCCTCATTATATTGAATGAATATTTTCAATTATAATCATCTTGAAAGCTACATGTATCATGTATTTATAGATCTCACGAGTGACACATTAAGCTACAATTTTAATGAATAGACAAAAGTTGTAATATTGTTTTATTTGAATGTATTTTACTGTACAACATGACATTTCATGAGTCGACTTCTGAACACACTAAGCTACATTATTTTACTCAAAAATAATGAGTCGACTTTTGAACACAGGCTGGGTTAGGCTTGGACCCGGTTCGGGCCACCCGGCCCGGGAACTGGCCCGGCACGGTACTATGCGGGACCGGCCCGGGAACCGGGTACCGGTTCCGGGTCTAAGCCGGTTTGGGGTGGGTAATCGGATCGGGTACGGGCTTAGGTAAATGAGAACCGGCCCGGCCGGTTCCGGGCCCGGTTCAGGCCTTTCAGTTTTTTTTTTGTTGGTTTGGGGCTTTGGGCTGGAATGGGGTTTAAATGGGCTGGAATGGGTCTTTCAGATGGGGGGTGAGGGGGGTAGGGGAAAACAAAAACAAAAAAAATAACCGGGCCCGGACCGGCACCGGTCTACTTCCGGGCCGCTCCCGGGCCTCACAGAATTTTTTTTGGGCCCGGCCGGGCCTAGGTTTGACCCGGTCCCGGAACCGGTTGAGTCCATCACTAGGCTGGGTTAAGGCCTAAGAGTGGATACATTCTAGTTTTGAGCTTTTGACATAGAACTGAACGAGAACAAGATAAATAAAGAACCAAATAAATGACCAATTGCTACGTATGATCTAAAACTTGAAAACCAATTCAATTTCATTTCTCATTTAAGTTTTTATTTGAATTTATAAGAAAGAACAGAAAAACTAGAAACAATCTCAAATTGATACCCTAAAATCAAATTAGATCCAGAACCATAAATGATTTAACCAGAGAAACAATCTCAAATTGACACCCTAAAATCAAATTAGATCCAGAACCATAAATGATTTAACCAGAATCAGCCCTGTACCTAAATTGAGTGCTTTTGCTCTAGAATCTAGTAAGGGTGCACTAATGGGACTAGGGGCTGCAGGCCCGATACCGGCACGGTTTGTACCGGAACCGGGCCGAGCCCAGGCCAAGTTTTGTTTTTTTTAAATGTGGCTTTTCAAATAAATTCCTTCCCCCACCCCACCCCCAAACCACCCAACCAAAGACCAAACCCAAAAAATCAAACAAAAAAATGGGCCCCATCCGATCACCATTTTACCAGCCCCATAGCCGGCCCGCCCTAACCCCGGTTCGGGCCCCCAATAGCGGTCCCGGTACCACCAGGTCAGGCCTGCACAGTGACACTAGGGGTGGACTAGGCCTGGGTCGGGCCTGCATAGTGGCAGGCCGGGCCTGCATAGTGACAGGCCGGGCCTGTCTCAATCCTGACACTAACATTATAGGAAGACACCCCCCTACGTGGCTACGTGACACTAACATTATAGGAAGACAAACCCCGACGGAAATTAAATAATTGTGGTGAAATTGTCAAAGATTAAAAACAATTTGTAATTAATAAAGAAACTTGCATATTTCTCCAACTATATGTATACTGTTAATTAATCTTAAACAATTGGGAATTACTACAGTGAATCCAACCAGAGAAAATAGGTGTACAATGCAAAATCACTCCCCTGGGATTTTTGTGCAACATAACTCAGGGAAATACATAATGCAAACAAGTTGAAACTGGATTTATTACTTGAAGTACTAAATTATAAAGAATTGAACAAATTTCTAATCGCACAACAATAAGTGGTTACACAACGCACTGCTTGATAGCAATGGCGTCACCATCTTCATATCCAGCTATAAACTTCACAACTCTCAAGCTTCATCTCCAGCACCACCAGCTGTGTAGTAACCGACATTTCTGTCCTGCAAAAGTGAAAATGGTACACACCTCAGTAATTCTCACTCTTCTTTTCTAATTTATAGAAGGTAGACGTAGATACTTGCCTGAGATAGCATCCTTTGCTTGTTAAGATATTGTGTCCTTGCCTTGTTAAGTGCTGAGTTAGGTGACTTGTATAGCCTCTATATAAAACATGCGGAGTATGGTTAATTAAAGGTGCATGAATTGCAAAAAAAAAAAAATCAATGAGACGAAATAGTCCCAATGTGGGGAGGAGCAGAAGGGAAGCAACCAACCTTTTCAGCCCCCGATATGCGATGTTCAGCACCAGACATCATCTTTTTCCTGGGCGTAAAGCTGAAAACCTCTTGAAGATACTCATTTTCCTGGGCACATCAGTTTGGAAATGGGGGTCATTAATAATATACTCTTAAGTCATGGCTAATACTATCAAAGCTCATTAAGGTTGAACAAATAATATATCCAATTAAGACTCCAAAACAGCACATCGATTTCAAGATTAATTTTCTTCAACGAGGTGCCATCTTAAATGCAAAATGATATTTTTACTACATTTAAGTACTCCTAATATATTGATGTTATGATATAAAACCTCAAATTTTAATATTCATAACATCAAAAAGGGTCCACAAGAAAGATGAAACACTAAAAGAAAGCACATATACCTCCATGTGCTTTGCAAATCCACCCCCAAGGAAACGTCTTAAGAAGTTGAGCTGTAATAATCATTTTCACAGACCACCCATGTAAATGCAATTAAACTGAGAACGCCAAAATAAGAGAAAGAGAAGAAAAGAGAATCAACATTTACCTGAATGAGTTCACTCCATGTTGCAGTGTTTAATGACTCTCCACAAATCTTCATAGATGTTTCTGGACTATATCCATACTGAATGTTGTATTGTATGAAGTATGGCAACAGTGATAAGGGTCAATATGACTGAAGTAATATTTGCTTGGAATAAATAATAACAAAATTTCTACCTCAAGAAACTCCTGAACATCCCGAAATGTGTTCCTTTGACTGTTGAGATCTTTCTTGGCAGACCCTTTACCACCCGCCTCTGCTGAAAGATTTCTGACTTGGTTCAAAACTTTTGATCTTAATCCCTGTATGTGGACCAATTCTCTGGAGCTGTCATCAGACCCTTCACCAAAGATATTTACCAACCCCCCTAGTTCAAAAATCAAAGCAAGCGCTTCACCAGCTGCAATCCGAACTGATCTTTCATCTTTGTCCAGCAGAGTGGATAAGTGAGAGATGGTTCTGGCATTATACGAGAAGAGAAGTTTATTTCTAGACAGACATGCAATGCTCTAATGCATGTCCCATAAATATACTTCAGAAATTACCCTAAATAGGAGTAAAAACGTTTTGAAATTCCAAAATAGGAGTATCATGTTTTTTATTCCCTAAATAGGAGTAATCTGCCAAGTTTGGAAAAAAATGCCATGTTTAAAGCCTTTAATTTCCAAACTTGGCAGAAATTTACTCCTATTTAGGGAATAAAAATATGATACTCCTATTTTGGAATTTCAAAACTTTTTTACTCCTATTTAGGGAATTCTCTCAATATACTTCCTATTTTAAGTTTTAAGTTCATGTAGTTCTTTTTTAGACATTCCTAAATGATGTCCTCTTTCCTTATTTGGTAAAAAATGTTTCTCAATCTAATCAAACCTCAAACACCCCCAGTATTTCTTGATGCCAAATAAATATTTCTGGTTCCTAACACCGTGAAAGTCAATATTGGAACTTTATGAAGGGATGTAAGCATGGAAGGAGTACTTTTGTTTTTTGTCCATCTCCATCAATATGACAATATCCGATTAAACAACAAAAAACTGGTGGGGTTCACAGAACTCAAGTATGGTCTTTCCATCCCTAGTTAGCAACTATCATAGTAGAGGTAAGTGAAAGTCACCCCTCCACTTCAAATTCAAGTACATCACTCTTTTCAAAAATATTTATCAAGCATTTTTAAAATGCTATGAAAAGTAAGACTGGAGTTCTGTGAATGGAAGTTGAGTAGAGGGACAAACAAAAACAACATAAATTACACGATGAATAGAAAAATTCCAGAGACCTAAGCAAAAGAAACATTATACTTGCAAGTGCTTAAAAGTAAAATTATGTTCATTTATGGCTCCAGGATCTATTCTTCACATCCCATCTCTGCTACAAATGAAAGGGCAGGGAGGTAAAAAGGCAGAGGTGTGTGTGTATACTCACCCTTGCCAACTTTTGGGATTTTGTTTCCATCCATCCATAGTAGTGATAAGGAGAGACCATGAAGACACTACTGCTGTTATAATTGGTGATGAAGGCTTAGCGGAAGAAACCTAGCATGGAAAATAGAGAGTTAACTTTAAGATCATTTTTAAATCATACGATAGACCAAAAATTAATCAATACAGAATGCTAAGAAACATTTAGTAAAACATGGTAATATTGTATAGCGATTCTTAAAAAAATGAGATGCTGGAATGCTCGTGACTGAATGATCACATGCAGACACATTTAAGCAAAATAGCTGAATTCCCAACTCTTAGTTAGGATATGAATGAAGCTTGCTGAGACATTTTGGATTAGCTAGCTTAGCCAGCACAAGTTCCAGGGCTACCTTCTCCCATCTTGTTTGAATAACAAAAAGAAACTTTTGTTTGATTTAATTAACACTCACTCATAGCAAATGCTGTTATGTTTATAGCAGTGTAGTCAAAAGCAAGCACCTGGGCGCTTAAGTGCACCAGGTAAGGCGCAGAACAACCCTAGCGATTGAAAGAATGACATGCGCAGCAACCTGCCTT